GCAAGAGTGAGAAAACTAGCTGATAAGTGTTTAAATGAATGTTTTGAAGGGTGTTGCGAGTAGAGTACATATAGTTGAAGGAGGCGGTGGGGGGGGGGGCACATCATCAAAACTGAAAAAAATGAAATGAAACAAATTTTTTTTTTTTTTTTTTTTTACAGGGAGATGAAATGAGCGAAGATGACGATGTACCGCGTAAAGATGAGCTCTAGAATCCTCTTTAGAATGAAGATTTCTAGCTCTCCTTTTTAAATAACAAATACCATCATCACAACTCCAGAGTTCATCTGTAACGTTGAAAAAGTGCAAAATAGATGTTAAAAATGGAAAAAAATACGAGAAAAAAAAAAATCAAAAAAACAACAAAAAAAACAAAAAAACAACAAAAAAAAAAAAATTATATATTTAATGATAATATTAATTGTTAAACAAACGAGCGAAACAAAACAGGTTATCAACAAACAAAACAAAAAACAAAATTTAAAAAAAAAAACTGAAAACGCGGATGAAAAAACAAAGAATGGGAAGAATGGGAATGGCGAGAATGAATGAGAAATTATTATTTTTTTTTTTTTTCTCCTAATGCAAATTTTATAATTATTATTATTATTATTATTATTATTATTATTATTATTATTATTATTATTATTATTAACATTTTTAAAAGTACGAGAGAGATTGATTTAATTGATTCGTAATTTTTTATTTTTTTTAATAACAAATTGAAACAAGTTTAATTTTTTATGTTTTCGGTTGTTTGTTATTTGTTGTTGTTTTTATATTGTTGGCGAAACAAACGAACAAAATTTTTTCTTCTGCTTCTTTTTCTTCACCGATTCCGTAAAACGTACACAAAAAAATAAAAAACGTGGTACTTAATATTAATATTATTATTATCATGAATTGAACAAGCAGTAAATTTATAAACAAATTATTCCCATGCTAAGTTAGCTCTCTCTATCTCTTTCTCTCTCTCTCTCTCTCTCTCGTTTGGTGTAAATTGTTTATGTAATTTAAGTTTTCATTTGATACTCAAATTATTAGGAGAGGCTCGCATTAGAAGAAGAAGAAATATATTTAAATTACAAAATACAAAACAAAAAAAAGCACAAAAAGTTTAAAATAAATAAATTTATTTAATTTTTATTAACTAATAAATTTTTATTTAATTATTAAGTTTTATTAAAAAAAAAAATAAAATAAAATAAAATTCACAAAAATTTAATACAGAACAAACAAAAACAAACCGTTATATTTTATTTATTTATTTTTTTTTTAATTTAAACAAAACGTATAATAATAATAATAGTAATAGTGAAAATGAAAAAAATTTGCCCTCGAACAAATTCCCAGTCAATTTATTATTATTATCATCATCATCATCATCTTGACTCAAATCAAATACTAATTAAATGAATGCGGTTGTGGAAGTGGCTCAAAAATACATTTTTAAGTATAAAATAAAATATTCATTCTTCTAATGTCGTGCAAAAAATTCAAATTTAAATTTAAATTTAAATTTAAGAAATTAATTAATTTAAAAAGAAAAAAATTTGTGCATTTAAAATGTGTATTATTTTAATAATAATAATAATAATGATAATGATAATAATTGTAAAAGTAAGCATTTATTATATCGATAAGATTTTTTTTTTACAAATTTTTTTTTTACAAATTTTTTTTTTTTTTTTTTTTTTTTTTTTTTTAATCGAATGGAAAAAAATATGATTATTATTATTATTATTTTGTTGTTTTAAAATAAGATGAAGAGAGAGAGGGGGAGGGGAGGGAAGAAAAAGGAAAACTCACTTTGCACCCACTTTTAAAGTGAAATAATTTTTGTAATTTTTTTTTTTTTTGTTTTTATTTTTTGTTTTTATTTTAACACAAATGATGGATGATTGGTAATAATAATAATAATAATAATAATGGTGATGAATACTCATATTAAATGAATTAAAATTTATTTTATTATTATTATTATTATTTAAAAATTTTTAATGTTAATTTAGAAACGATTTAAAGTTTTTTTTTTTTACCTTGTTTGCATTTTTATTCGGTGTTCGATTACGGTTTTACTTTTAATTTTTTTTTTATCGTACAGGTAAAATCATTTAAATAATAATAATAATAATGATAATAATGATAATCCGAGGTGGATAATAATTATTTTTTATAAATGGCTTAAATATCACTTTCTGGGTTTTTTTTTTTTTCTTAAAGTTTAGGATGTTGATTGTTATTATTATTATTATTATCATCGTCATCAATGGATTCGTTTTTTTTTAGTGTAAAATAATAATTATAAAGCCTTTCTTCCAATGCCGAAAAACATTCCAATATATTATTATTATGATTAAATAATTATCACGAATTGTGTAAATTATGTTAAAACAATGATATTTTATATACGTCTTGCCATTAATCAAAGAGAAAAGGGGGGAGGGGGGATAACAGCAAGGGGATTTTAAATAGGATCGAAAAGTTAATTTTTTAAATTTTTTTTTGTATTGATGACTTATTTTAACAAGAGCACAATTATTGTTTTTTTTTTTTTTTTTTTATTTATTTAAATAAAATTTTTTTTAGTGCTTAGATAAAAAAAGAAAAAAAATTGGATTTTGTGTCCTTATAATAATAATAATAATATGATATTTTTATTATTATTTAAAAAGAAAAAAACTTTTTTTTTTGATGTTTTTAATGAATTTTATTCCTTTTTTTCTCCCTATCCGCTTATTTTTCGAACATCGTTAACGGTTATTAAAATGGCGGTCGTGACGTAATGTGTGGATATAAAGATAAATTATTATTATTAGGTTAAAGCACTCGGATTTAAAATATAAAAAAAAATTAATATCGTCCTTGATTCTTAGTCTTTCATGATTTTGTTATTTAAGCGAAAAAAAAGAAATTTTTGCTTATGTTTCTAAAAGAAGGAGGAGTAAAAAAAATTTTTTTTTTTACTTTCCTTATTTTAAATATATTCGAATTAAATTTCATACGTTTTGCAAAATTTCTTATTTCAAGGTTTATTTCGTTAAAAACTAAAAGACAATATTAATAAAATTAATTTATTTACGTTATCCTCGTAAAAGCTTTCGATTTTTTTAATTATTAATACTCCGCAGCCATTTTGTTTTATTAATTAATGATTTGTAACTAATTAACAACAACGACAATAACTATTATCATTATTATTTCAAATATGTAAAATGAAATCTTAGAGATGACGTTCAGAAATTTATCGCTACCGCTGTTAGTTCTGCCACTTCTTATTGATTTTTATCTACTTCCACGTGTCATCAATCATTTCAAATTTTTACATCAAACCGTCTGCATTTTGTCTTGGGTTTAAGAGGTAAAAATTTTATTAAATATATTTAATTTTGAAATTTTAAACTCGGAAAATAAAAACGATTCGGGAAATATTCAAACTTTAGTCAAAATATTTAATCGAACATGTGAAATTATTATTATTATTTGTAATCGGTTATTTTACAAGGAACGTTAGAAGAAAAAAAACGTTACGTTGTGTGATTCATTTATTTTTTTGATTTAACAAATAACATTTTTTGAAATTGTATCTATATCCACTTTTGAATTTACAAGGTTTTTTTTTTTTTCACGTGTGAGCGAACAAAAAAAAAGTTAAGATTATAGTTACCTTTTTTGTTCGACCGTTACGACGTGACAAGATTCCGGTTGTTTATCTAATAATTTAATGGAATTCCAAATCCAGTTAACGTGAACGTGTCGAACCCCTTTATCCCAATATTTTTCATTTTTTACAATTTTTCCCACTTTGTTCAAGTGAATGACGTGAGTTACTTTGTTCTTTCCATTTTCAACCGACGTTTCTTTTTCCGGATCGTATAATTTTCCATCGTATGCTATCAAATACCTTCTCAACAAATCATAATTTTTATATTCTTTTGGGATTTGTATCACGCATCCGGTAAAAATGTTTGGTAACGGATTCGAAAACGATTTTTCTTTCGATTCCGAATTTTCCGAAGGATTTTTTTCTTCTTCTTCCTCCGTGTCGGTTTCTTCAAAATAAGCCTCGACGTTTTCGTCTGCTTTCCTCGATTTTTTAACCGTAGTCGTATCAGTTTTTTTCTCATCATCGTCGTCGTTTTTTCTTTTTTTTAATTTTTTAGGCGTTCCATCGTCTCCGGTTGTTTCTCCACCGGTAGAGGAAGAACTTCGACTGGTGTTGAGCAACGAAAAGTTTGAAGTATCCTTAGATTTTTTAAATAATTTTTTTAATTCGCTTAAATTCGTGGCCGAAGCCCAATCTTTATCGCTTCTGATTTTGGTTACCCTTGGAAATCTTATGGAGATACCGTTAGCAGTATGAACTTGATTGCAGGTAAATTCTGCTCCGGTGATTTCCCACACGGGCATTTTTTTCGGATCGTTGGCAACGAAATCGGGGATCATGGTTTTCGTACAATTTAACCAATTAGGAACTTTAGAAGGATCTTTGCTTATTTTGACGACGCTTAATTCCTTTTGAATCCTGTCCAACGTTTGTTCATCGTGACCGCTGGAAACTTTTGTAACGGTAACCCATTTTTTTGATTTTGCATCGTAGCAACCCATTAGAAATGATGACATGATACCGCCTTTGTGTCCTGTTCCAAACCAAGCCCCTAAAACAACTAAATCTGCAGAATCTGCCATGGCCCCATCACAGAGATAATCTTTTTTAACTTTGAGCCAGTGCCTTTTTCCAGGTTCGTACACAGATTTTTTATCTTTTAAAACTAAACCTTCAAGACCTTGTTTAAAAACTTTAGTGATCATTTCTTCTAAATCTTCTGCTCTGTTAATTTCTTCCATTTCTGAAAACATTATGTGATTATTTATTTCTACCATATTTTGTCGTAAGATGCTTTTTCTCTCCGAAAGACATGTTGTCAAAAGTGACTGGCCATTGTAGTACATGCAATCAAAGACGAAAAGGCAGACATTAGCATTTTTAAATTCACTTTTCTTATGAATTCCTAGTGTGCCAAAAGGTAAAGGTTTGCCTGTATTGTTATCCACCATTAAAATTTCAGCATCTAAAATTAAATCTTTTCCATAGGGAAAAGCTTGAGGTATATATTCTTTAAAATGACTAACTTTATGAGCAAGAACAGGTTTTAAACTTCTACTGAAATATTTGAAAGTATCTCCCAGTTTATGCAATTGAACTCTCTCCCCATCATATTTTATCTCCGAAAACATTCCGTTAGGACATTTTTCTAGTGCCATTTCTACAGATTTACAAGGTTGAGCCAACATGGGAAGAACAGGGGTCATCATATTTATGCTTATATCCATGCCTTTTTCTGAGTTAAGCTTTTCATTTTTTTTATTATTATTTTTTTCCCTTGCTTTTATTGCATTATATACAACCGACTTTATATCTCTCGATGTTTGAAATGCTTTATAAGCATCTTTGTGTAGAGCTTCTAATATATGTTTGGGACCTGCATTAATTCTTAAGTCATGCTTAATCAACCTGATAATCATTTTTAAATCATTAGCAGTACATTTTTTAGTTATGCCTTTAAAGTGGTAATTTTGTTCATCTTCCTTTGTCATTTTAGATAATTTTTCTAAAAATTCATCGACTTCTTGAAGAGTTAAAGTTGATTTATTTGCTTCTTTTATTTTTGTCGAAGTTTTAAAAAATGAAGATATTGTTTCAGCTACATCCCCTTTTTCTAAATCTTCAAGCATAGCATCATGGTCTACACCTAAAATTTTACTAAACAATTTAATGAGTTGTTTGCTTTGTAAATTATAAACTCTAATCACTGCACCAGGCAGTAGTAATCTGCACCAAAGCTCATAATCACTTTTAAATGATTCACCATCAGAACCTTTATTAAAAAAATCAGCGACAATTTTGGTTTTAGTCAAATAGCTACTATCATTAGCTAAATCAACACAAATTTTCCTAAACATTTTAAAAGAATTGTCTTTGTGATTTGCAAATTTTTTTTCAATAATTTTATTTAATGAATCTTTGTGTTGAAGAGTGGCATTTAAAGTTTCCCTCGAAGCAGATTCAAATATTTTTTGCAGTTCTGGAGGAAAATAATTAATAATTTCTTGTTGATCATTTTCATTTAAATTATCCCATCCACCGATTTCATCAGGGTGTTCAATTTTTTTAGTTGTGGCTCTTTGTTTTTTAAAAACATCAAAAATACATTGAATATGATGCCACTGCTTAATAGTTCCAGTTCCAAAAGGATTGTAAGCCAATTTGGCCATTCTTAATTCGCCCTGAGATATTTTTTGCTTACATTTTTTACAACCTGCTCGTCCGGTTTTAGCTCTATCAACATGAAAGGGTTTTTCTGACGGTTGTTCTTCATCCTCTTTATCAGACATTTTTAGTCAGAAATTTTTATTATTTAACCAATTACGACATACATATTAAATTAATTAAAATATGTCATGAAATAACATTTAAATAAAATGCTTCAAGTATAACCATGCGGTGAGTATTGAGAAAAATACAAGATTTATACTTTAACGAAAAATATAAAATACTAAAATTTAATTAATAAATATTTTAAATATTATTGAGTAAATAACCATACAAAAATAGGTATTTTTTATTTGAAATTTTCATTTTTGATATACGGTAAAATTTAAATACAACTTTGAAATAAATTAAAAAAAAAAAAAAGTTAAAAACAAATTAGTTTTACTAATTTTCCATCGTAGAGTAGTATAGTATTATAGTGACTTAAATTTCCAGTTCTAGTTCCACGTTAAAACGTCATTAAGAAATAAAACGGCGCTTATTTTTTTTTTTAAGAATGACTTGACCGGTATTCATGATAACTTTGTTCTTTGTGTGAGAGTGTTTTTGTAATTGTTCTTAAAGAAAAAAAAAAGTTAAAAAATTTTTAATAAAATACTTAAATCGAATGCGATAATTTTAAATTATTTTTTTATTTCATTTTATAAAAAAAAAATTTAAATATATATATATTTTTTTTTGAATAATTTAATAGTAGTTAGTTTTAATTTATAAATAAGTATGTATTACATTTATTTGTATTTATTTTAATATATTATTTATATTACTACATTATTTTCATTTAAACAGATACTTTTACTTATGATAAAATTTTGAAAATCGTTGGCGGTTTCTTATCATTCATTAATAAATATATATAAGGGAAATAAGTCGCTAAGTGAAAGTAGAAAGCAATTCTCACATGTCGCATAAAAATTAAATAATAGATACAAAATGGCAATCTTCAAACACAGAGCACTAGATATAAGATGGCTTAGAAAACCGAGATGTCGAAAAATTGTTATTATAATTAGTGTAATTTTTAGCGTCAATGTTTTTTTAGTGTACAGCTTAGTAAATTCTTATAGCGATCCTTCTCTTGAAGAAGAAGATCCTTCAGGAAGAGGACGCTACCACTTAGAGGTTAGTTTATTTATTTTATTAATATCTACCGGAAATTTTTAACTATTAAAGTTAATATTTATCAATAATTTATCCAAATGAAACCCACACTTTTTTTTTGAGGAAATTATTAAGATAACTTTATCAATTCCTCTTGTTTATTTAAGGGGTTAATGAAATTGAATCTGAATTATTTATACTGAAAAATAAATTTATTTTTATAGCTCATTTTTTAATTTTTTTGACATTTTGTATTGTTATGTAAACACTATTAGAATAAAGATTTTAAATAATAGTAAAACGTAAATTATTATTATTTTTTATAGGGTGCATCTGTTCAAGATGAAGATGATAACCAAATAAACAATGATAATATTTTTATCAAACAACAAAAATTACATATAAATTTAGAAAAAAAATTATTGAATAAAAAGCAAGTGCCTGAAAGTCAAATGAAATATTATGAAAATTTAAACAAACTCAATACTCCTACCAAACCGAGTAACACAACAGCTAGTCTCAAACTAGAAGAATTAGATTTTAAGCCATGGTGTAACATTACTACTAAGGAAGCAGTGTCTGCCATACATCGTGCCAAAACTCAATTTTGCAAGAAAGAATTAGTTGATGTAATATGTTCCCTTCAAAAAGAAACCCTCTTTCCTAAAAAATTAGTTTCTTTTTGTCCAGCCCCAGGTATGAAAAAACTTCGATTAATTTTTGAAATTTAAAAATAAAAAAATTAATGTTTTTAAAATATTAAAATCAATTATTGATTTTCAGGAGTTCAAAGGGGGAAGTCATTAGGCTGTTATCAAGATAATAAATCAATGAGACTTTTATCTGGATACTTTGCTAATTTAGAGCAAATGAATTCACCAGAAAATTGTATTAATTTGTGCCTTCAATCAGGATTTCCATATGCTGGTGTTGAATTTTGGTAAAATATAACAATTACTATATATATTTATCGAAGAAAAAATAATGCAATAATACAAATCGATGAAAAAAAAAAAGATTTTTTTTCTTTTTTCATGTAATTTATTTATTCATTGTCTCCATAAGTTTTAATAAATTAAATAAATATTTATTTTCAGGACTGAATGTTTTTGCGGAGTTGATGAGCCTTCATCAAAAGCTAGATTACCTGATTCCTCTTGTAATATGAAATGTCCAACGGATCCAAAATTAGCTTGTGGTGGTTATCTCACAATGAATATATACGAAACAGGAATAAAAAGTAAATTAAAAATTTTATTTTATTATTAATGTTGTTTATGTTGTTGGATTGAAATTTAGTTTTGATTTATTACTTTTATTTTTAATAGAGTGACAAGTGTTTATTGTTTTTTTGTAGAATTTATACCTCAAGTGCCAAGTACTGAAGTTACTACAACTGAACCTCGCGTTCGAATAACCTTTCTTCTAACCTTTAGCGGTCGCGCTCTTCGACAAATCAAAAGATTAATTAAATCTTTATTTCATAAAGATCATTATTTTTTAATTCACGTCGACGCGGTAATTTTTATTTAGCATATATCTATTTATAGAAAATATAATTTTAAAAAATTTTTGCCGAGTCACGTTAAAAATGACTACTTGGAATTTTTAAATGACTAATGAGTGAAAATTATTTTCAGACTCAAGATTATTTGTTTCGGGAGTTAATTTATTTAGAAAAATTGTTACCTAATGTAAAATTAATGAGACGAAG